CAGATGTCCGCGTTCTAAGAACACCATTCTTCGAAAAGGAACTTTTTAAAGTTCAAAATATGCAACTCTTTGGAGATGGCTAGCATAGAAACATGTTGCATTTCTGGTGATGAAAAATGGTAAGCATCTGCAGTCAACAAATTGTGTTTATTGAGTCTGCCGAGGTTTCTACGCACACTTAGGTCATCATCAGGGTATTGGTTTGAAGTACTCAGTTTTGGGTTGTCTAAGTCCTTTTGTAATCACATTGAATAGGGTGTCCACTACTGTACACAATGTCACATGTAAGAGGTTTTGGCAAATAATGCCTTGTTTTTCATTTATTTATTTTGAATAATGAGTTCATCAAGAGATAATAGGGGAGGGGTAGCCGAGCGGCCTAACGTGTGTGCACAGCACCGCGCGTTACCTGGCAACCTGATCATCTAAGTTGAATATAACAAAATAATTACGAGTTCGCGTCCCTGTGCCTGGTGGTGTTTTAACTCTGACATTAATACCCCGCCCTCACCTCATCAAGATTTGGTTGAAGAATGTCGCAACGCAAATGATGACATCAGCTGTTTTATATTAGATAAGAACTATTAAAATCTTATGGAGCAAACTACAGCTCACTGAATTCCACTAATACATTAATCGCATTGATAACATTTCACTTAGAAGTGGAGCATTTCCAAGAATGTTTTGTTTATTTTTGTCATTCTTATAGATTACGTTATTTATACATAATTTTGTTAACATTATGCAAGATTATAATTGCCATATAACAATGTTAAGATTATAATTGGAAAATTCAGGCATCACCGGGAAAGAAAAATAAATAAATCCAAGATGAGATAGGGGAAGAAAGTTGAACTAAAAGATGAGGAATCTTATATCTCATTGTCAGTCGTTTGCTTGCCAAATCAACCACAATCAGTAATGACAATTTTTCATAAAATCCGAAAATCTATATTTTCTATTTAATTTGATATTTTTTAAAAAATAACTTAAGAAATTCTTTATTTAAAACACATTATTTCGCAAATCACTAACTATTTCAGTAGTCATTTAAAAACAACTTGGTTCACAAAATTTTTAATTGAACTCATACAAAATGGTGTGTGATTTGGAGAGAAAAAAGTAAAAGCAATGATGCAATACAATTAATTTGTTTTTAACTTTCATTTGAATAAAACAGTTTAATAGTTTTTGATGATTTTGTTTTAAGAAATGGAACTTTAGATTACTTGGAGAAACAAAAAATGCCGTTATGGAAATAAACTTATTTTCATAGAACTGTTTTTAATATTTAGGTTCATTTATGAAAAACAAAAATGGGGAGCGGGGTAGCTCAGTGGGTATGCCCTAAATTATAAAGCTCGAGGTTCCAAGTTCGAATCCGGCTGTTGACAAATAATTATTCATCAGCCGTGCATCGATCCTGGGGTATATGCAGATTCAATAAAGTGGATTCTCTTGATTAAAATAATTAAACGACAAGAAATACCTGTCGGTTGAGCGTGATCCTGGCCCGTCATCTTCCCGCACAATCGTTAACCGTGAAACAGTACTCCTTACAAAATACTGAAACAGTACTCTTTACAAAATACTGAAACAGTATTCCTTACAAAGGAACTGAAACCAAGACCCATCATGGTCTTATACCAAGACCCATTAAAGCAAAAAAAAAATTCCACTTGTTTTTATCTCGATTTCCTAAAAAATCGATTAGGGTACACTTTGGCTTTAAATTACCTATATTATAAGATTACAGTTACTCTTAGTTAACAATAAAAAAATCTTCCTAAATACAATTTAGCCAGTTGTCACTACTTACCTCATAGAAGCGTGGCCATTATACAAGCTAAGAACAGTTGTTAAGAGATACGAAGAGCCATGAAGATTTTATTGTACGATATAAATGAGGCTGTTTACAGCCTGTATTGCTTCATTTGCATTTCGCCAATGCCAGCGAATTACATAAGTTGGGTCGGCTCCTGTGATATCTTACCTCCAGGATCATATTATATAACTCGGAGAAATAAGGACAAAGGACTCGTTAAGGATAATAACGTCAACTCATTAAGGATAATTAATTGAAAAATAAAAGTAGCTGTGGCATGCGATTTCATCAACCATAAATTTGGACTATAAATCTGTTTTAGATACAAGTTAAGGGTTCCTCCATGATGAACGACGGCTGGTTAAGTGAATAACAAGTGAGCCAATCAATAGGAAAAAACATGCTTTGATAGATGGCTTCGGTTTCATGTCCTTCACTAACCAGGAGCCTTCCACGGAGGGGGACTGGGCGCTTCGTAAGGCCAGAGGCGGAATGGTGCCAGGATTTAATTTTGGAGAGTTCTTGTAGGTATTTATTATGGGAGGAAAATAAAGAAACCACCGTTAGGAATATATTATGTTTAAGTGATCTTTGAAGGAAAAAATAAATAAATAAATATGAGAATTAAAAAAGAAATTAAACGTTCGTGGAATAAACCGAGGCGAAAGTGAGAGGATTGCGTTACCGATTATCTGGCGGAGCTGGGTTTGGACGGCGATCGGTGAAGGGAGGAGGGTAAAAATCGATTGGTAGTGTCGGCATTGAACCTTCGGGTTCGCTAAGCCTAATAGAATAGAATAGAAAATAATTTCATTCTGGGACGAATAAAGTACAAAATTAGTACAAATATAATATAGATATAGATATAGAATATAGATATAGATATAAAGTACAAAGTATTATATGATATATCATATTTATGCAACCCTCTTGGAAACGTACAATTTTGGTTTATTATTTTTAAAAATCAACCATTGTGATCCACCAAAAAATTCAAAAACTTTCCCTCTCTCAAAATTTGAGGTTTCACGTTTCAGAATGTACCGATTTCAATGAAACTTCGCTAAAGTCATTCTATCGACGCCCTTTAAATTTATCTATGTAACATACTTCAACGAAAAGAAGCTGGAAAAAAAGTTACACGAGGGATGGTAAAATTTAATTCCGAATAACTCAAAAAGTTAACACCTTTTTGTTGATATCGTATATGGTTTTTTAAAAGTTTACGGAATTTCCTAAAAAAAAAAAAAAAATCGTTAAAATCGGATAATTAGGAGCAAAGATATGGACTCCAGTTTTTTTTTTAGATGTTCTACTCCAAATGTTACATCCTTTGTTTGATTTTTAAATTTTGCATGTTAAATATTTTTTTTTTAGCATATTACTAATGATTAAAAAAAAAAAGTTTAGTCCAATAATTGGAATCACCTTTTATTTATTTTTCTTTGTAACTAGCAACTTGCAACTTTGTAATGTTGCTTTAGATGTATAGTTGTTTGGAAATAATAAACCATTGTCAAATAATTTGCAGCGTCTTTATTTTGTAATTTATGGAATCATAAGTTACTGATCTACAAAACAATAATGATACCTATTTGGACTTAGGGATTAGAACTGTCGGGGACAGTAATTTTTTAAACAAAATCCTTATAACTCAAAATCCTTAGAAAAATAGAGGAAGCTCATTTCTACGAAAACAACAAAACCCTACACCATCACCTCAACATCCCATTTGTCCTAGACCTTACCCCAGAAAAGTTCTCCAAATCTCACCAGAACCTTACTTATCATCCAAATCCTCTTGCACAATCCTTATCAAGCACCACCCATACCTACAATCATCCAAGAAGGTTAAAACGGCAGTGGCCCCGCGATCTTTTTTAGTTTGTATATATTGGAGTCCTGGCCATGGTCAGATTCTCCATTGAAGAAATGAGTGTATTTGGCTAAAACGCTTTCGACCAATCTCCACTGGCTTTAGTAGCAGTGAAGTTTTTTCTGTGCTTATTGAGTGAATGTGATCTTACCTCCCTATAACAAATGACCAAGTGACAGAAGATTGTATAATCAATAAATAAATAAATCATGGAACCACCGCAAAAAAAAATAAGAGAAATGAGAAACTGAAAATAAGAAATATTCTTTATATTCAATTCACAGACAAATAGTTTCAGTAAAATAAAAGACTATCCTATCTAAAAATCCTAAAAAAATAATTTTTCATCATAATTATCATCCTGGATAGATAAAGAGACAAGACATTTTATAGATGTAAAATAATAAAATTACGGACAGAACTAGATGAAGAATAAGGAAATGTTTTAGAATTGAAAGTTATTAAAGAGTGAGCTGGTAAGAGACGAGGCCAGGTCGGTAAACAATTCGTGACAGTGGCGTTAACACAGCTCCGACCGACCTCCGGTGTTTCCTGGGCAATGCCACAATTCCCGTCTAATCTGTTATCTCTGTCTGGTTCACGGTCGGCATCTGGAGGCAGCAGAGGATTTGGGTATCTGGATGGCCACAGGACTTGAGAGCAATATTGAGTCGTCTCTGGCAGCAATGGTAATAAATCCATTATCCCTCTAACTAATGAATAATAATTTATTCACAAGTACGAAATTAGCCAAATTATGCTTTTTTTTTGCTTTTTTATACAATTTTATTCTAAAACCAAATAACTTTCAAGACGACCAACAACTACACAGGTATATCCTTCCTTAATACTCTAGCAAAGTTATTCACTAGCATTCTAAGGAACAGAATCATGAAATCGGCTGAATTAGAAAAATTAATACCGGAGGAACAGGCTGGTTTTAGAACGGGTAGGGGATGCATTGATCACATATTCACATTGATGTCAGTTGTCAACATTAATTTGAGGTCAAAGGGCAGCTATGTTTACGCAGTGTTTGTCGAACTTAGGAAGGCCTTCGACTCTATCAACCAAAATTTGTTGTGGGAAAGGCTTTTTTCTCTTGGAATGGGGGGGGGGGAAACTAATTAGGCTTCTCAAGAAACTATATGATGCTTCATCGATGCGGATAAAGTTGAAACATGAGCTCTCAGAAGAGATTGGTATCGGTCTGGGCCTGCTTCAGGGGGACGTGGGAGATCTCCATTAAGTGTTGAAGTGTTGAAAAAACTGATCAACTATTGGACAAAGCTAAGCTTAATGAGTGACGAAAGACTACCTAGACAATGCTTTAATAGGCTTAGAGCTCTAGACTCATCCATTGGAAAACCTGATCCAACTTATAACTGGGTTACCCAAGTAAAGATGATTGTGGCGGAACTGGGATGTCAGGGGATGTTTTCTTGTGTTTTCTCTCAAGGTCTGATGAGGTTTAAAGATGAAATCATGGAAAAAATAAGAAACCATCACGCATCCAAGGACATCGACAGACTGTTAAACTCTAAATCAAACTCAAGATATAGAAAAATCTGCTCCTTTAATGTTACCAGACCAGAGGATTATCTTCAGATCAGGGCTCTGAATTTAAACAAATTAAGAGCCGTTAGTCGTCTCAGAGTAGCAAGTAAAGATTTTATGAAAATATACTTAAAATATGCTACTTTGACTATTAAATCCAGTGAGGTATGTGGTGCATGCAACTGCCTTGTAACTGACCCGGTAACTCATTTTCTGATCCAATGTATCAAGTTCAACGAACCAAGAAATAAGTACTTGAACGCATTTATCACTGAATCCAGAGAAGATGCTAGTGTGGAGGAGATACTGAAAATAGACACTACGAAAACAATAAACCAACTGTATTATTTCATACAGGGCTGTTCATTGAACTGTTAAGTGGTATAGTTAATCATATAACATATATTAATGCCTATTTATATTGTCATTTGTCTTATACCTCTCGAATATTTAAAAAAAAAAAAAGGTTTTACTAATTGTTATGTATATATGTACATATATCGTTTACTAATCTGTTATTATATTAGTCATATTTAATGCTGTGGGCATTGTTAATGTTATGTTTGAAAGCAGTACTAGACTCAAGATCTAACATTGTTAATCATACCATTATACTTATTTGTACAGGAATTTCCTTAGACAAATAAAATAAACTATCTATCTATCTATCTAAATTAATACATAGACAGTCGGATAGTTAAATCGAAGAGCAAGGACGAAAAGAGGAATAAGGGAGGCAAGCATATATCACCAGGTAACAAGAAAATATGTATTTCATCTGATTATGAAATGGATAAATTCTGAGTAGAACTGAGTTCGGTTACTTAAACCACAATACAACAGGACAATGGCACAATACATATCTTGTTGGTGTGATATAAATTTGACCATGATTAGGGATTAGATAAATTTAACAAAGAGGTTAGGCAGATTAGACTCGAAAGTAGACAGGAACAGAGGTACAGACATGGGGAGGGGGAATCGCCCCTCCCCATCCGCCCAATGTTAAGGAGCCGACAATATCGTCTCTCCCCTCCCCCAATAATTGGAGGTAAAAATAATAAAAATCAATAATAAATAAGCCAAATGAATTAATAACATGTGTAAACTAAAACAGACCAGCTGTCTGGGCAAGGCCCTAGCAGTAGCTATGTCACTATTTTCTTGATACCTAAATGTTACCTTCGTTTAAATTGTAATTTATATCCAAAGATAATAATATATATCAAAATACCCTCCGATTTTACGATTCAATCACCTCTCAATTTTCACCTGATATTCTTATCACATTTTTCGCGACAAAGTTGAATGCTACGAAGGATTTCTTCTCCCTTTTCGCTTGGTTTAAATTGAATAAATACGTTATATATAATAAATAAGCAAAGAAATAAAAACTACGTTACAGTTATACAAACATATAATCAAATAAATTTTAAATATTATATTGGTTTCAAACATTGGCTTATTAAATATTTCAAAATAACGTTTACCTAATAAAAACTCCAGACCTATTTTTTTTTAGGTCCATCGCCCCTCCATCAAAATCGAACGTTCATCGTCCATAACGAACAGGAAGGTAAAAACGTTTAATATATAATAAACGAATTGAAGTTGGATAAGTAAAATATTTTCCTGAAATCGTTATTTTGCAAACATAACATATTATCAATTAAACACACGAAAATGAAGCAGTGTACCGAAAGTAGCGAGAGGACTCTGAGAAATTTTAGTCATATTTTAAGTGAAAAATATTTGTTTTTGACGCTTCATTCTTTGAGTTCATTCATAAATCATTAAATCAATTCATTGTTATTGTCATCTGATGGCAGTTATTTCTACCTCCCCAAAGACTAACGTCGCAATGTTAACATATTATAAATAGCGCTATGATACATTCAAAATTAAACACTTAAGACTATTAACTCTTCAGTATTCGAGGGTCCATTAAATGAGTAATTGTTCACAAAACGTTTTTTCATCAAATTAATAACTGAACAAAAATAAAGTCAAGTGCCACAAATATTTTATAGCAAAGTAGCATGATTCATATTTAAGACTAAATTAGTTTAATGCTATTTAAGTAAATGCTATTGTTAGTTGTCAAAGCCCAAATTACATAGTAAATCTTGTAACATAGGATAATGAAGATAAGAATCGATTTATATTGAAATATTAACATAACAGAAGTGACTATTAGAATATACTTTATTTTCTCCACATTTCTTGCCCATAGCTTTAATTTAACAAATAAATGCAGGTAATTTATATTTCTCTTTATCATTGTTATTTGGAAGTTTTAGGGAATACTTTGTTCAACTCTTCAGTATTCCGATTAATAAATTACTAGCTTTTATTTTTTAAATTAGAATTATGAACAAGACGTGAGGAGTCAACAATTAACGAAGAGAAGTTAAGACTATAAACTAATACTTTACTATATATAATACTATAGTATAAACTGATACATATCATTTAGCAGGAACCTCTGACAGGTAATTACAACAATAATAATATTACTCTGAGCATTACAAAATAAATAGATAATATTAAATAAATAAAGCATGGATGAATAAAATATCCTTTAGTATGGTAGAAAAAGGTTCGTGCCTAATTCTGCCCTACTTAAACACTTGTACATTGAAGTTATCTGCTAGAACTCAACTGTTCCTTTATTGACAACCCTTTATATATTTTAGGTATTTATTATCTAGATCATATTATTTATTATCATAAAGGTGCCATTGGACTGATAATTCAAACTACAGCTGGAGGATATTATAGTATTAAAGGTTTTGTATTTTGATATAACTTGACTAAATTACCTGATATATGAAGAGAATCCTTAAAAGCAGCGTATATACAATAACAGTGCACACTAACTGAACCAGAGAACCCGACACGTAAAGTTAAATTAAACTTAAAGAAAGAGAGCGACACCGAACACCTGGAAGGTAGGCACCTCACTGAGGCCAACTTGGTCGAGAGGTTCCTGCGCGGCGGCGTCTGCGCGTCAGGCCACCTCGTCTCCAGCTATATTATAGTTATAGCTTTAATATAGTTATAGCAATGGTATAGTTACAGCTGTAGTATAGTATAGTTATAGCTATAATATAGTTATACCTGTAGTATAGTTACAGCTGTAGTATAGTATAGTTATAGCTATAGTATAGTATAGTTATCACTTCGGAGGGAGACGATCGTCTCCCTACCCTCCCCTCCACCCCAATAATTTGAAGTAAAAAAATAAAAATTGACAACAGATAAACAAAATTAATGAATAAAAGATGTAAACAGAAATCGCTTAAGAAAAGTCGACTAGCTAGGCTAAGCTAAGACCTATAAGTAGGTTGTAACTATTTTATTACAACCTAAATATTCCTATTATTTAAATTTTTATTTATATTTAGTGACAACACATAAAAATATATTTGGATATTATGATTCATTCACCTTTCATATAAACATCTCTATTTCAAGTTTTCTCAGAAATTGTCTGTAATAAAGTTGGAAATTATAAATTTAATAAGTACAAGTATAAATATATTTCATAGAGAATGTATTGATAGAAATTTTTATTCAGATTGTGAAAACATATTATTTGGCGGATGTACAAAACAAGAATCCAAAAGTAATTTTCAGTTTTTAAGATTTCAATTCTAGAAATGTGCCAATGTTGTGGAGGCAGTGTCCCCCTTCTACCATGTTTAATGTATACAAAAATATATTTTCAAGTATATCCGTAAGCACATAAAAAAATCCTACAACTGTCCAAATACAGAAATAATTGATTTTTAAATATTCAATATTATATTTGTTTCACAATAATTATGTTGGTTTTTTTATACAAAATATGAACTACCACGATTTTTTTTATTTATATCGCCCTCCTCCAAATCAAAATGTAAAGTTAGCGCCTATGGCATACATTGCCATTTAAAATGATAAAATAACATTATTATATGGTTGTATTGGGGTACTTGCAGAAAGATTTTAGCTACAAGTTTTCGATGACGATTAGAACACCATTTCAGCATCACGCAAAACATTATTTAATTTACATTATTAGAGTGCTTCCAGTGGGTAGTTTCTCAACAAGCGTGTTTCATGTAATAATATTTCTCTGTACAAATTTACTAGATGCATTCATACTAATACAGAGGTAAATATAATAAAAGTTTAAAAAAAAAAAAATACATTATAATAAATCTCTTAAATCTCAAAAGTCCAAAGATATCATTTTAAATATGAGAGAGTATTTCATGTTTTTTTTTTCACTAATATCTGGTTGTATTAGGATATTTAAAGAGATATATATGCAATTTTTACTTATTTATAACTGGTAAATTTAAATTCACTATATTAGGATTTAACTATAATATAATCCTCTAAAATCAAAAGCCCACTAATATTATTTTTTTTCATTTGGCAGAGAATTTTATGCTATTTTCATTAATGTATGGGTTTATTGCGATATTTGAAGAGAGATTTTAGCTACATGTAGCTTTCGTTATTTTTATCACAACTTTGAAAATTTATGTTTAAGAATTGCCGTATACTTGACAAAAAATTATGATACTAAAACTTACGATATCTGCATTAAATATTTGACATTATTAAAGTTTTAGTTCTTTAAATATTTGGATAGAAAATCCGAACAGGTACACTACGTTTGTTTTGAATTCAAAATATTTTCCCAAGTTTAAATTTCACAAAAGTTCAAATCTCCATAATTCTAAGAATATTATCGGCTTAAAAATATTATTAATTCTGCACTGGCGTGGTCCAAGGCGCACGAGGGAGCTGTCATTTCGCAATTAGATGCAAGTTGACCTCCGAGTCGCAAGCGAGGGGCTGCTTGCGGGGCGGTAGTAGGTGGTGAGTGGCAAGTAAAAAACAACAACTTCGTAGTGACTCGGGTCCTAGTTACTAGTACTCCTAATTATGTACGTAGTAAGTACTCACGTAGTACTATAAATTATGCTGGTTGCTAGTAGTCGGATACTACTGACCTACTCGCACATGAAAGTTACTCGTACGATGCGGTCACACGGTGCGAGTAGCTGCAATGCAGTAACTGACCAGGCCAGCTCGCACTGTGTGACCAGTACATGATGCGGTTGTGAGAGTTGCGAAGGGAATTTCCTGGAATCCCGCTTTTCCCTCCAGTAAGACCAAGACCGCCTGACTGCTGCAAGACCAAGACTGGTAAAAAATCGATTTTTTAAATAAAAATTAAGGCAAAATAGTGACTAATACTCGACAATTTTAGTTACTATATGTTGATAATTGGTATAACCAATACTTTTGCATTTAACTCTTCTAATTTTTCATTTGGACTTAGTTAGGTTTCTCCTATCTAAATTATTACAGTAATTTCTCTATAGTAATAAGCTAATAAGTTACTGCAAGACTGTTGCGAGACTCTTGCGCAAGACCAAGATCATGGCCAAGACTGAGTTTGTAAGACCAAGACTGAGTTTGTAAGACCAAGACTCGTCTCAGTCTCGCATTTGGACAACACTAATAGGTGGGTGGGCAGCCTGGTCCATAGTTCCCTAGCCTAGTTTAGTTTATATTGCCATAAATTTATCTTTAAATTATTTTATTTTTATTATTACATATCGACGGTTCATAAGAAAAATCGGTTCATTTTTGTAATAGGTTAACTTTCGAATTCGTTTTTATCTAAACAAAAAAGAAATTCAGCCAACTAAGGTCAGTATAGCTACCTCATCGTTTTCAAGGGCTAAAATATACCTGTATTACAAGGTATACAATTTTTCGTATAAGAATAAAACCTATGGGAGAAGTCGACTCGGAAATACAGTAAGTTTGATATCAATGAATTTCGTTTATTAATTTTTACATACGACCTTTTGCACTAATAGTAGTGATAGATACTTAATAGGTACGTTTTCAGGTAGTAAAATGGATGGAACTAGAAAATCAATAGGAAAAATTCAACTTGTTTGTTTGGAGTTAACGAGACCAATACTTTTCTTCAGTCAAAACTAATCACTCTTGATTATAAAAATATGGCTGAAGTTCACACAACTTCGATATTTAAAGAAGGAAATCAAGACCAAGACGAACTGATTGAACTCCAATGGAAATAAACACAAGTTGGAGTAAAATCGAATGCTCCGTTTTGAAACTAAAGGCATATCAAATAACACATTTCCTCATCTAAGTATTTTTTTCTTTTTTTTTTTAGTAGTAGATAGAATTTGATAAAATTGGCGCCTATTTCATTTTACGTTTACTAATCCCTAAATTCTCTCCAAATTTGAGCCAAGACGACCTTGCTGTTTTAGAGATATAGACGTGTCAAGGAAATCACGTTTGCTCATATAGAAGAGAAAGCATTGGACGGAATTCAATGAAATTGGCCCTACATTGTTTTTTCACAATTACCTACCTTTAATCCAACTTTGTACCAAATCGAACGAGCAGTTCCTGAAATATTGGTATATCTACAAAAATGTGTTTGCGCAAGCGTAAGCGGAAGTGTTGGTTAGAATTTAGTAAAATTTATGTAGGACCATCTAAATACCAACATGCACAATTCTTGAAATTTTCATGAAAATCGGATGAACTGTAGTAGGTGATATGTTCGTTACATCGATTTGACTACAGACAGACACCGAACCAAATTCGATCCTTGGTGTCTGAAACGTAAAACTGCGATTGAAAATTTTCGATTCTGAGCACAAATTTTATTTTAACCTCTCGCATGAATACAATGCTTCCCTACATTTGGTACTGACGAAGCAAAAAAGTAAGTGCTTGAAAATGGCGCCAAACTAATTAATTATCATATGAGTGGACACGTATCAAAGACTGACATCTATCATTTTTAAAAATGTTTAAAAAAAAAATTTGTTTACATAGTTTCAATTTAAACATATTCTAGTGGTATTTTTCCGTAATTAAACTTGAACATTCTTAAATAAAATCATCAGAAACAGTTTTAATTGAATCTCTAAAACCAAAATTGACTTTTTATCCACTTGCTGAAAATGAAAGATGCCCGGCTTTAGTAACAAGCCACTCATATATAGTTTCCCTACTTAAAAGTAAGTGAGCAATTTTTTGATTTCATAAAGAGAAAATTCATCTAAGTTCCTAGTTGTTTGAGGCTAACAAATGTCATTTAATTACCTTATGTGATAAACCGACCAATTCTTTTTTATTATTATTTAATTGTTTGTTTGCTTCTGTTATAATTTATTTATTCATATTTTCTGTAGATTTGGTTTGAATGTACGATTTCCCCATTATAACCATTGTCCATATGAAAGAATGTTATATTACTCACTAATCTGGTTTAAAACTAATAAAATATAGTTATCTTAATAGGATTCTCAAATTGAGGAGAAGTTGGTTGGGGTGTTCAATAAAAAAAAAAATTATAATAAATAAATAGATGATATGTATACTTATATTTATTTGCCGACGTTTCGGCCCAAAGTTAAGGCCTTCGTCAGGGCTAAGAAAACCTGGAAACTGTCATGCAAGACCTGAACTTGGGGCCGAAACTTCGGCAAATGTAAAAATAAATAAGGAAGGCGATGGTCCGAGGTGGCGGTCATAAATATACTAAATAGTGACAAAACTATTTTATTAAAAGCCAACGTTTCGACCCGACTACATGTCTTCTTCAGGGAGGTATGTTCAGCAAGGAGTTTCACTTACAATTCTAGGTGAAACTCCTTGCTGAACACATCTCCCTGAAGAAGAACTGCAAAGTCGGGCCGAAACGTTGGTTTTTAATAAAATAGTTTTGCCACTATTTAGTATATTTATGACCGCCACTTCGGACCATCTCCTTCCTTAATAATACAACGGTCAACTATTAAGTTTTCAATAAAAATAAATAACATTTATTTATTTCTGATTTTTTTTTTTACTTAACACTCCAACGAACTTCTCTTCAACAATTCACTACAGTTAACCATCAATTCACTATTATAATTCTCAAACATATGAATAAAAAGATAATTTGTTTGGTCTATGTGTTTTTAATCTTAAGAAAAAGATTTTAATAACAACAACTAC